TCTTCTTCTTCTTCTTCTTCTTAAATTGAGATATGAGTCTCTAATTGCATTCATTTTGTTGACAACGACATCCATAGGCATCCGGTCTCTTGGTGATGTTGCAGAGCATGAGAGCCCTATTTGCATCAATGAATCCAAGCATTCCTCCAATCTTTTTGCTTTGACTGGGCCAGGATCTTTATATCCTGCTACTGGTCTTTTTTCTATGCGATTTCCATATTTGTCATCTTCATCATTCTCGTCATCCGTTTCAAGGAGCAATGAAGGCTCAACTATGTCCATGACATGGTCAGGACAAGCCATGGCTGTGAATTGGTGAATGCTTAGACCATCTTTGAACACGTCATCAGTTGGTCTTTTTCCTGTGAACATTTCTAGCAACAGTATCCCATAGCTATAAACATCTCCAAGTATGGAAACTTGGCCTCCCATGCCATACTCTGTCATTCAACACATAAATTAGGATGTCACAGTAAATTGACCTGTCAGAGTTTATATCTTATATAAAATTTTGCTAATAGTTCTTCTCCAATAAAAAAAAAATAGAGATGTATATAATTTTTTTTAAAAAAAAAATCAATTGAGATTTTATTTTCTTTAGTAATTAGTTAATAGGAATAGAAAAAATGAGGAAGTATAAAAACTCATACCTGGAGGAATGTAGCCTATGGAACCCTTTAGCCCAACTGACATGGTTTGAGTTTTGGTGGGATTATTTGATGCTTCCAAAAGGAACCTTGCTAGACCAAAGTCACCAACATGGGCTACCATATCTTCATCAAGAAGAACGTTGCTTGGCTTTAAATCACAATGAACAATGCACGTTTCACAGTCATGGTGTAGATAATCTAATGCAGAAGCAACATCTATGGCAACATTTAGTCTTTGGATCAGGCTCAATCTCTTACTTTGAGATTCTTCATCATCTCTTGGATGAAGCCATGGGTCTAGACTTCCATTTTCCATGAACTCGGAAACTAGACTTTTGAACTCATTACCTTGGTTGTCAATGCTTGAGCATGCGGTTATGATTTTGAGAAGATTGCGGTGCCTTATATTTCTTAAAGCTTTGCATTCATCAATGAAACTCTTGGAAGCTCCTTCTTGGTTAAGGTTTAATACCTTAACAGCAACTACCATGCCATTACTAGAGAGTACTCCTCTGTACACAGAACCGAAACTTCCTGAACCAATGAGATTGTCAAGAGAGAACCCGTTGGTTGATCGCGCGAGTTCTAAATAAGAGACGGATAATTTCCAATCCCCATAAGAATGTGAAGTTAAAAGTGGACCTCTTGACCTTTTCACCATCCTACAAGCAGCAATAAAGCATGATAGGGCAATGAATCCAAGTGCACAAGTTACAGGAATTACTACTTTTGGGGAAAGTAATCCTTGAGATGAATGAGGCTTTTTGTTAGAGCATACAGGTAGAAGTAATTCTGGGATGCCACCACACAGTTTATTATTTCCATGAACTGAGACACCACTTGCATTTGAAAATATTCCTTCTTCAGGCAATGCACTCTCAAAATCATTATAAGAAAGATTGAGTTGCTTAAGAGCTCTAAACTTACCTAGAAATTCAGGAATTTTCCCAGATAAGTGATTGCGTGAAATATCTATTTCTTCCACGCCTCTTAATTTTGTTAGAGTTTCAGGAATGTTTCCTTCAAACGCATTACCTTCCAAATGTAGGCTCACCAAACTAGTGCAGCTGCCAAGGGTTACGGGGATTTCACCTGATAAGTTGTTTCCTGATACATCTAGCTCCGAGAGATTTACCAACTCACCCACTTCTGATGGTAGTGAACCAGTCAAAGAATTGTTAGACATGGACAAAGAAATTGAAAGGGATGAAAGCTCAACAACCTCTTTAGGTATGGTGCCACTTAGTTGGTTACTAGAAAGGTTAAGTATCAATAAGCTTTGGCAGTTTCCTAGGCTTGGAGGTATGCTTCCCTCAAACCTATTACCCTCCATGAAGAGCCTTGTTACTGAAGTCAAGTTACCTAGGGAGGATGGGATTGGCCCCGAAAACTTGTTAAGATTCAAATACAGACCTTGTAACTTCTGGAGCTTGCCAATTACATCAGGGAGGCTGCCACCAAAATAGTTTTGTTCCATTCCTAGATTGGTCAAGTTTACAAGATTTGCAATGCCGATAGGGATGCTTCCCTGTATCAAATTACCCCCCATTGTAAAAATTCTAAGTTTTGTTGAGAGGTTGGATATGGACTCTGGCAATTCTCCTCCAAAACGATTGCGGCTAAAACTGAACACCTCAAGATTAGTACAATTAGCAAGGAAACTGAGAGAACTCAGGTCACCAGTCTTTCCACTTCCCAGTCTATTGTCATCAAAGTTCAGTCTAGATAAGCTTTGCAAGCTTCCAAAATTTTCAGCTGGGAGTTTCCCAGTGAGACCATTTTCAGCAAAATCAAGCTTTCGAAGTCTTGAAGCATTTGACAAGGATACAGGAATACTACCTGTGAATTTGTTGACACCACCAGCTAATATCTCCAGATTAGGAAGAGTGATCCCTGT